CAAGGGAAGTTTACAAAAATGGACATCGGTTCCAGATAGTGGATGCCCTTCGTGAAGCCATCTTCAACACTTGGAGCAACGTTCCTGGTGGGTTTTCGGGTTTTTTTGAGCTATGGTCTTCAACTTTTGATCAGCTGAAAAAAAACATGTTTGAGTGTAAATGCAGTTTTCAGACAGTTCCCTGCTCAAAAGTTCTTGTCTCTTGCACTGATTTCTTCTTTTAACATTGTGAAGCTCTACTTAGAACCTTCTTAAGATCCAACAGTGCAAAATGCAAATTCTTGCACTTTTTTGACTGGTCTTAAGATTTTGATCAGGAGTTGTATAATAGATATGCTTCAATTAATGCAATGACAGACTTTGAGACACAAAATAACTTCATTACCTTCCTCTTTTAGTGAGAAAAACAACAAATAAACGAACTTTGGAGCTCAGATTTATTCAATACTATGTACAGAAATGTCTGGAAGTACTTCCGCAATGATTAACACAGTTGGTCTACTTACGTATCATTTCGAGCTCCGTGATGTGTTTCATTGTGAACTCATTTTCCTGTGAGGAAAAAAGAAAACATTTACGGAAACTTTCAAAGCAACAACACAACTAATAATCATCTAGTTTTAGTGATTTAGTTGCCATTTCAAACACGTGTTTGATATTAAGCGCACACTAAGTTTGAAACATGACTCATAACATGTCGTTTAAGATAAAAAAAAAATGTTCAGCTAACCTCACAAAAAGAGACTAGTTTTTGTAATAATGTCCATTTTGGTTCAGTGAAATCCAGGGATAGTCGCTGCGCTGCGGACAGACGGTCCCATTTCTCCAACGTTGTCTTCAGCGTCCGAGTCGGTATCCGTCGAACGATTCGCTGTAATAAACGTGTCGCAGACTCATCCATGTTTTTTTCCCCAAACAAATAAAAACTATTTTTTGCAATATTAACCGCGTCTGTGTTTAACCAATACTGTTGGAAAAGAAAAACAACCGAAGAAACCGCCTGCACCAATGAAAAATGAATCAACCAATCACATGTTGACAAAGTCTTTCATGTTCTCTCTGTCGCGCCCTCTGCTGTGTTGGAGGAGTTATTACCTTTTGGTACTGCAGGTGCTGATGACAAACGAAAACGTAACAGACCTGGATTAAACCTACTCTTGATAAAATGGAGAATTTAAAGAAAATATGCTAACTCATTAACAAAAAAAAAGCAATAACAAATTAGCTTTTTAGCACAATTATGAGGAAAAACAACATAAACACGCGTAAAAAGAGCATCAAAAAGCATTAAAACATCCGCTAAAATAATTTTCATCTGTTGATTAGGAAGTTTGAATGTTTTTTTTTCTGTCTGACACGCAACTGAATTATTCAGTACAGCAAGAGAGTTCCCTCCGCCGCCAAAAATAGCTTTCTTTTAATTTTTATTTGATTCAATCTACTATTATTTACCCAAATGACAAGTCATGAATATAAAATAATTTTTCTTGAAGATGTATTAGTTAGAATTGCTGTTTGCGTTTGTCAGTTTTGTTTATACATTTTTGAAGAATTAGATGCGCAAAAAGAAAAGAAAAAAGGCAAAAGCGGATATGTATGACAGGAACTATCTTGCGTTTTCTTTAAGCTTCCGGTACCACAAGTCCCGCCTTTTTTATAAAAGCCCGCAAACTATTGGTTTCGTTAACAAAAAGCAGAACGGTGATTCGCTATTCCACATTGTCACTCAAGAAGCACCGTCAGATGTTGCAAAAGCGTTTTCGTAAGCACGTCCTCCAAGTCGCCCTGTGTGGAGGTTGAATTGGACTAGTTACTAATTTAGAAGACTTTATCATAACTAAAAAAAGCATTAAAGACAACTGAAACTGTCGCACAAAGGGAAACAAGGCGTCAGCGTCTATTTGGTTGTGATTCACCTTATCATAGGTGTTTTTGTGTCATTAGCGGAGGCCTAGCAGTTAGCTAACGTGACGTTTCTTTACCGGTGTGCAGGAAAACCTCTCAGATGAGCGTTTTCTTCCACTGGTAAGTAACATTCTTTGTGTTCTGTACAGTGTTAGCAGACAGCACCCTTCAAGAGGTATAGAATGCATACAGATTAAAAACTTATTTAATATGGTTAGGTTATTGGCTATAACCCAATCAAAGTTATGAGTTCTTAAGCTTTAAACAATTTTAGCTGGGCAAATTCCCCCAATAATACTTTTGTTATTTACACCTCTCTATCAACAGGTAAGTGTCTACTAGAAACCTCATCGTCACAATGACAGAACAGCCAGGAGAGGGATGGGGGGAGCTAGTATCCTTTGGAACAGTGGGATCCCAGATGTGTATTTATCAGCCCTCCAAAACTTTTAATTGTTAAAGTCTTGTGACTCCGATCATCACTGCTTATTGTGCAGATATTATTTACCTTAATAAATAATGACACAATGTTTATACAATCAGTCTCAAAGACTGTGGTATTGCTTTTTTAATCTATGTGTCACCATAAATGTCATTATCACAGCATATTTTAAATTTCTTAACATCACAATATTAGTGAGAACGGTATCAATATGACAGAAGTAAATCATGGGTCATTATTTTATTTCAACTGGCATGTATTCAAATTACATTTGGTCAGTCCAAACAACTTTGATACCAAGTTTAGCTGATAGTGATACAAAAGAGAAAACATGGATTTACTGAAATTAAATGTGTTCATCAAAATCTTAAACAATAATATCACACAATCAAGTTTTTTTTTATTATTATACAGCCTTAGCAAAAAGTGTTATTGGGGAAATATGTTCAGTCTGTTACAAAGTATTAATACGGAAGAATAGATACTGTATTATAAACTTATGTTTGTAGATATTTTTAATGTTGTGAGTTCTTAGTGTTCCTCCTCTTCTTTTTCAGAACAGCCGTGGTTCAGTAAGCCTTAAGTCAAAATGCACTCCGACCTGTCACCTCACCTGCACACAGATGAGTGCAATGAACTGATAGGCCTTCTGAAGCAGTGTCACAATGAGGTACATCAGTCTCCATTTTTTTATCACCACATGTTTGATGTGCTCAGACAACAAAATGTAATTTCCTTTCATATCTCCATCAGCACAGTTTCCTTAAGTTTTTTGGCAAATGTAATGATGCGGACCGTGCAATGCGCCGCTGCCTGAAGAAAGAGGTGTGTCGGCTACTTTCCTTTTTTTTTTTTTTACCCTCAGTGAATTAAATACAAATACTCTGAGCACATGCTTTAGTTTTATTGTTGACTGTTTTTATTTTTATGTTTGTTTTTGTTCTTGTCATTCAACAGAGAATAGAAAGGCAGGAGCGCAACAGGCAGCATGCACTGGAGATGAGACAGAGATTGAAAGAAGGACTCAAAAAGGAACTTGAAAATTAAAAAAGTAGTGTATTTTTCTAACTGGCTCTGAAAGTTCAATACATTCAGATATTTAGCCACAAATTAACCAGGAGACTTCCACTGTTGCTTTTCTGTTGCAGCAGGGGAAGGTTTGGAATTATGCCTCATTGTAATTTAGTTATGTGTTTWATATTAAAGATGAAAACTACCTCCTCCATTAGGGAGGTGGATATTGCTTTTATTCCCATTTGATGGTGTTAAGACTGCAAGCAACACAAAAACTACCAGGCCAGTTTTGTTTTTAAGACTCACTGAAGAATTTCAGCAAAAATAAACTATTATGCTTTCATGTGCAACTGTCTTTTTTCAAACATATTTAAATATTGATATATTTTTTGCTGCATATTTGTACATCCTGAAAGAGTTGACTGTTTGACTTTGCAGAGCTCATTGCTGTTTCAGTGCGCAGATTTTGATAAATGAAAGAAAGCTATTGGAATCAGGCACCATTATTGAAATTTCAACGGATTATTATCTTTTCTTGGTCACATTTGACATTTATCATCTGCACTGATTCAGAAAGTAGCTGTGTTACCATAAAAAACACCACCAAACCTTTCAAAGTAAAGCTGCATTTGCTTCATTAGCAGTTTTCAGCCGCTCCACCAAAGAGATTAATTAAGATGTGGGCATAATCCTGTCAGCAAATCATAGAGCCTGGTGGCAGAATCCCTCAGGTGTGTTTTAATTGTCATAAACTGCTCTTGAGAATATAATAGTGCGTTTTCAATTAAAAAAAAAATCATCTGTGAACATAATAAATGTTTGGAATTTTGTTTGAATGTGGAATCATTGATTCAAGAATCCTTGATTTGAAATAAAGTGAAATTCTTGCTCAGTGTCAGACACAATTCTTGCTTTTTTATTGTCTAATTAGTACAATTATTTTATTGACTCCTTTTAAAACCAAGTTTTTGAGATGGTAAGGATTTTTTGAGTATTTAAGTAATCAGGTAAAGATCTAGAAAGTGCCTTTATTTATATTTATCTGGCTCCGTGAGCTTTGATTTAGTCACCCTTTCAAAAGCTGCTTGAAATGTAAGGGTGTGAAAAGAAGCTGAAATTATAAAACTGATAAAATTATGCATTTTACCAGTCCTGCTCCTTTTTGTTCAGTACTCTGTGTATTTCAACTGTTTCCCTGCTTCACTTGATGTGTTATAGGAGCCCTCTGGAAGACAGTGACAAGCTGAAAAATAATTACTCAGAATCAGGTGTATTAGGACTGTACCCATAGTGGTGGACAAAGTACTCAATTTCCTTACTTGAGTCAAAGTACTGATCCTACTATTATTACTCCAATAAAACAAAAATAGCTTTGTCAAATTATTACTTAAGGTAAAGTACTGGCGAATGCTTTCGAAAATACCCAAGTACTGAATKTGCTTAAAATTTAGAAGTTTTTTAACAATGCATTTCACTTACATAAGTGTATAGTTCAGAATAATTGGAAACATTTTCTGCTATATTTGACAGATTAGTAACTCCAAATGTATATTAGGCCTAATAATGCATTAGTATCATACAGTATACATCTAAAAAAGAGAAGTGTTGGATTTACTTAAGTTATGTCAACAATTTCCACTCAGCTGAGTTGAAAATGTAAAGCACCTCTCAAATTTTCTTTAATACAAAGTAGATGTAAAAAAAAAGTAAATCACTTGTTGCAGGTAATTTATGTCTTCCTAAATATACCCCTTTTACAAGAACTGTATTTCTACATGGTCACCACTTCAAGGACAAAGCTTAATAAAAGTTTTTGATAGAACCAAGTTTTATGTGACAAGTCAAGGAGCTCTAAATTTAATCTGAGTTTTTAGTTATTTGTTGTATTTGTTTTCTGAATTGAAAACATTTGTTACAATAAACTAGAAACACTTGCAAAAAACAATTTATTCTAGTTTATTTGGTAGAAATCCATGAATAGAACAAAGGGACTAAAAGTGTAAAATGCTCTAACTTTGGTCTTAAATGAGATGAGTCCATGTTAAAGTCAGGAGGACTGATCAGGATCTAAACCATGACTCACACAAGTGCTGAAACAGTATACCTATAGCGTACAAGGCAACACTAGTAGGACAAAAATATTTTTTCTTCACCCTGTGACCCGTTTAAACCTGCTCACACAACCTACTGTAGGGGTGCAATGTGTAATTTTACTGTGAGTAAACTACACAAACAAGACCAAAACAAGGAACTATCTCAAGCCTTTAGAGACATGAAGTGGAGTAAAACGTATGGTTTTATTTTTTTTAAATGTACTGGAGTAAAAGTATAAAGTTTTTAATAAAAATTCTTCTCAAGTAAAGWACAAATTCTCAAAAGCTGTACTTAAGTAAATTTACTGTCCACCTCTGAGTGGACTATGCATGACAGTGTGAYCTGTGGAATAGGACTGCACACCAAGATAAGAACCTAAATGATTGAAAAGTATCAGAGGGATAGTTTGAGTCATGTAAGGAATATTGGGTTTGACAGATTGGGTGTTTTAACCTGATAAACTGCAATTTCCCACCTGCATTACATTCTGCCTCTTTATAGCCTGGTCCACACTGCCAGGAACTTTGAATTTGCATGTAGACTGTTTAAACGATTCAATTGGTTGTCTTCTTCTTCTTCTTCTTCTTCTTTTTTACACATGTAACATTTTTATCACGTGTTTGTTGTATCTATCCTGTTTTGTCTCTTGTGTTTTCACGTCTTCTTGTAAAGCACTTTGTGGTTTCTAACCTGTGAAAGGTGCTGTATAAATAAAGTTTACTTACTTACTTACTTCTTTCAACTGACAACTTTTGTGACCAACTGGGTTCATCTATTGGCTCTACCAAGCCCAAAATTTGTGAAAAGCTCCTCAGGTCCTGCCCATTTACAGGTGATTGATWRACTGTAGAATTGGCCAATAAGCTCCGAGCTTCATTCTTACACCACAGATTTGTAACCAATCAAGTTACCTTTTATTTAATAGCTTTGGAGGGTGAGGATCTTGACAGAAAATCAAACATRATGACATTYCTGACGTGGCAGCCATTTTGTCCCCCAACAGTCAACATAGAAAACATGGTTTTTACGGTGTTTTCGAACTGTTAGCGGACTAAACTTGCTGTTAAAGAAGAAATATATTTGTTATAAAGTGTTTTGAGTGTTTCAAGACAAGGAATGGGGATTTTTGGGGGCCAGGAAATATCAGAAAAGGAAGGATTATTCCTTCTTTCAGCCACCATTTTGGATGGTAATTGAACTGCTTTTTTCTTTCTGCTGGATTACATTTTATTTGTGATTTGTATTTTTATTGTATAGCATTTGTTATTTTTTTAAAAAAATGAAATGAATAAACTTTATAAATAAATACAATTTACATAGCTTTTTATCCAAATCTTACAGACACCAAAGTGCTTAACAGTTGCAGTCAATCGCCCCAGCGTACACACATTGATGGTGGTAAGCTACTGTAGCCACAGCTCCCTGGGGCAGTCTGGCAGAGGCGAGGTGCTGCCACCAGACCCTCGCACCATTACCAGCAGGCAATGCAGGTGAAGTGTCTTGCCTAAGGACACAACAACTGAGATGGATGGAACGAGAAATTGAACTGGGAACCCACAGGATGATTCCCCCAACCACTCTGCCCATTGCATTTGGATTTGATTTTGGTCAGAAAAAGAGGACAACTTATGCATCAAAAGTAAGTGAAAAACATTTTTTCTTTGCTGCTTTTTTTGGTGGTTTTATACGCTGTGTGGATTGTGCTTGGATTTATGGTTTTTTTTTTTTTGTGCTTTGGCTGTTTGTTGGTGGGGATTTGATGCATGTCCCCCAGTTGCAATTCATTCTGCTGATCTGTGTTGAAGCATTAAAATGATAGTATTTGGAAATATTTGTCCAGTTTGGACATTTGCTGGAGACCTGTCCAAGTATGATGGACATGCTGGATTGTATTATGTCTCATGTTCATTGTTTCTTRAGAATCTATATATTTTAGTCCAATATTCTTTTTTAATACCTGCTTCCCTTCATGTACTGAAACACTTAAAAAATCTCATGTTAAAAAAATCATATGATTATGACTTTTGAATTAAAAAATTCAGATTGATAGCTTTTCGTTATGACCAGGCTTTTGATTTTACTCCAAAGGGTTCAAAAGYGTACTTAATTTAATTTGGGTATGTTTTTAAGGAATATTAGRCCCAACAGCCTGCACAGGTTAAGTTAAGCCTTGAAGTATTTCCTCAGGTTACAGCATGGAGGAATGTGTGATCTGACTAAAGTGGCACTGTTTGACTGAAAAAACAGTGAAAAAGATCTACAGTAACTAATTTGTAAAAATGTGTTTGGTTGTCGTTTAATGTAAAGTCTGGATGGATTTCTATAAATGGTGCTGACAAGTAGAAGCAGTGTCAAATATTAAATTTGCATAGTTAAGTGTGGAGGAGGACTTGTGTTGATTGATTTACATGTAATTTGTACCTTTTAAAATAGGGATGTTAACATTTCGTCAGCAGCTGCTGCCATTTTCTTCCCAAACTGCTGTGACCAGATTTTKCAAGGCTGCTCGGTGCGTTTGTTTGTAATTTCCTCCTGCTTCGTTATTTCTACAAATTTCAACAAATCGAGCTGCCGTCAGGTAGTTAGCTACAGCCTCGTCTTTAATTTTTGTTGATGCATTTTGAAGAGACAATTTTTTGAAAATAGGATCAAAATAAATCACCCGAGTTTTTCTAGTGACCCCTTAAAGAGATAAGCTGCCATGAAGAACATTATTTTATCTGCCCTTGTTCCAAATTTGATAATGATTTGAAACGTCAAAGTATGTTTTTTTTAAATCCGGAACAGTGCTTGTTGCAAAGTGTTTTGACGCTCGTCTTCGTCACTTGACACATTTAACACACTGTCATTGGCTGAGGAGCTTTGTTTACAAAACAGATGTCCACATGGTTTTTAAATTGTTTTAATTTCCTTACTTTCCAAGACACATTAAGTTGATTTGATGCTACAGTTTGCCTTGTAATGTTATTTTATACTTTTGAATGGGCTATTATTAAGTTTTGTTAGTTTTTTAGGATACAAGATGCTTCCTACAAAACCAGAATGGGAATCTTTTCCTAAAATTTCATGGCGATATCTTGAACACTGAGGAAGTTATGAGCAAAATTAGAAAACAAGGTGAAATGGTCATAAAGGCCCCAGTGGTTCTGCTGTGACCTGCAGCAAGAAAATGAGCTGATTTCACCTGAACAAACATCAATA